TCTCCTCTCTTCAAAATTCGGCTCCCTTTTAGGTTTTAGGTCTATGGTTTATATAGTTTTTTTAAGATAGATTGAATTAGGAAATTATTTAAGGTAACCGTTGTTACAAAATTTTGATTGAGATAGATTGACTTGTGATTGATCTGATTTATAAATTAGGATTAGATTTAGTTAGAAAATTAGAATTAGGATTTTGATTGTAATGAACTTGGACGAAATTTGTATCTGTATTCATAAATCAATCAAATAAAATTCTCAATCTTTTGATTATGTCTTGATTTGATTCACCAATCATGCACTCCTAGATTTGGGCTTTTGATCAACTTAGGATTGAAGACAATCCTGGGTGCAACCCTTGGATGTCCAGGGTTCAAAAACCCGAATTTTTCCTAAGTCAAAGTTTTTATCAAAAAGTAAAATAAATAACAAATTTAGAAAAATATACTTTTAAGACAATGTTGACCTCCGGTTCAACCTGAAAATAATAACAACAATATTAAAAAGAAAAAATAACAATATTATATATATCATAACATTAAAACAAAACAATAAATAAATAAATAAATAAAATGCAACAAAATAGAGAATTGGTAGAGTGTTGGCTCTAGTCAACAAAATATAAAAGTAATAATTAGAAAAATGCTTTGATATTTAAAAATAAATTAAAACAAATTAGTCACATTTGTCTTAATTAATTTTTCTATGGGCCTCCTAAAAGACCTAATGGGTCATTTTAACAAAGATATTTTAGATAATGAGCCCATTTATAAAAATTTAGTAAAATGTTTATATTTTGTGAAATAGATCGTAAAAGGTTTTAACATAATAATCTACAATATTTACACAACTTAATGTTAGTATGCTTGAAAGAAAGTCAGACAAAGTGATAGTAATTAAACAAAACACTGAAATAAATTGTGACTGTTTAACACCAAGGAGGGCAAAATTAAGGTATGACAGTTGCCCCTATTTAATTGTTCTCTGATTGAAGGGTGCGAGAATACGGAGTTCTCGCACATTCAGATTAAAGTATTATTAAATAATGGAAGACCCCTATCATATCCCAAATTTGTCCTACCCTTTTACTTTTATCTGACTTACGTATCTTGCACTTCTCACCTCATACGCATAACTTCTATTAGGTCATTTAACACAACATATTGTAATACCTCAAATTTTTCATACCCCTCTCACTTTTACCTGGCTTATGTATCTCACACTTTCATCTGCATACCCTTTGTTAGGTCATTTAACAACATCATGCATTCATTAATAATAAGGTTTGGTATTTGAACCAATGATCACGAGATTAGGCTTTTTGTATGCTTTAAGGACCTCACTTCACTCAAGTTGGAATCATATGTTTCCTCATTAATCATTGTTTAGGGAGGCGAGATTATGTGATCATGTTCTGGGAACTTCTCTTTCGTTAAGCTTTGAAGTTCATCAAGTCTCTTCAGGATTCCCCAAAGCAGTGTTTTTCTCAAGTCAAGATATTCCATGGAGTGAATGGAACGACGGTACAAAGATGAAGTTGTGGCCTATTTTGGATCAAGACAAGCAATATTGTTATCACGTACTTATCATTTCAATGGAAAAACTAGGGCTACCTACTCACTAATAGTAGGATAGCACCGTCTAAAGGAAAATAGGAAAAGAACAACCTTTCGAGTAAAATAGATAGCTGTTAAATGCTTGCTCAACAATTTTTACACTTGCACAAAATTTATTCCAAAAACATTTTCAAACACTTTGTATACGTTTTCTACCATTCCGAGAAACATTACAAAGTTCGTCGCACTGAGGCGCTTTAAAAAATAATTTTCAAAAAACACACAAAGCACAAGGTATTTTAAAATGAGCTAAGCATCTAAGAGCCTGTAGATAACTACAGATGGAAAGGGTGATAATACCTCCCCTTTCCATAATTTACCCCCTTACTCAAAAATAATCTCGAAAGGTCTTTTTCCTGTTCTTTTCACCCTTTCCTTTGTTGGATAAAAGAAAAGTCAGTGGTGATTCTTGCTTACCGCAACATTTGCGAATACAAACGCAAAACCAGTATAACAGTCGGTTCTGCCACCGTATCACATTCTCCATGACGAGGCTTGATAACTTCAGAATGATCATTATCATCAGAGATAACTTGAAATATATCATCATGATCAAGAAACAGAATTCCACATAACACCAGATTCATCATCAAAACCACCACGGTCCACACATCAACTACAATCTATTTTACCTGCAAGCACATAGATTTACAAAACAATATCTAGTAATGATGTTTATAAAGAGGCTTATCAAGCCTCATTAGTTAGAAGAAGTCAAGTCCCAACTAAAGTACTGAATCAATGATGAATTAAGTAAGAGATCTTGAAGTCTAAAATAATGTGAAAGAGAGAAAGTGTGAAAACTCATCATGTCTCTGTCTGAGTGATCAAAGTATTTTAAATATTTTAGATTAATTTTTAAATTACTAAGCTAACTCGCACACTCACATAAAAATGTTTTAAATTTCTCTAAGTTTTCTAAAACACTTTAAAAACTATAGAGGAACAACCAAGGTGCTTCTGGGTTAGACCAAGAATGTTCCTAATCATTTATGAAGCTTATATACACTGCCTAATTGATTAAAGGCCTCAACCGATATATTAGAGCATGACATAAAGCTTTATAATCGATTAAGAGCACTCCTAATAAATTAAGACACTAGCCATTGTAGGGTTTCCTTTTTAGAAATTAAGGTATCCTTATTTTGAAGCTTGTAATCGATAAACCCTATGGTATAATCGATTAGAGGAGTTAAAGGCACATGATTCTTTTTCCTTTATCTTTGTTTCTCTATTTCTCCACCTCTCTGAGATATGAGTCGTCAACATAAAAAAAGGAGAGAATATGAATCTATGTGCTTGCAGGTACAATATTTGTAGCATTTAGATGTTCTTAATGGTTTTGATGATGATAACATTATGATGTGAAGTCTTCAACTAGAGTAATGATCAAAGTATTATATCAAGATGATCAAGATGTTTCTTTTTAAGATCAAGATTCAAAGTCAATCTCTTTAAGGATAACACCCAATGTCAAGCGGCATTTGGTGGAATTCTTGATGTTCTCTAGTCAAGCTATCTCTAATGATGGCATCTATCAAAAAGCTCTATTAAGTCTCATCAATTAGAAAAATTCAAGTCATATATGAAGTGTTGAATCAATAATGAATCAAGTAAGAGATTTTGAAGTTTCAAAAATTATAAAAAAGAAAAAGTGTGAAAGCTTTCCATACTAAAATAAATAAATTTTTACAACACGAGGAATATGTTTCTTACTCTCTCTTTTGTTCATCTGCTAAATTCTCCCCTTTTTTTATTAGATCTATATTAAAGCATAGATGTAGGATAAAGAAATATATATTTTTACATAAAAGAGAGAATATGAAATATAAAGAAGAATGAGAAAACCTCTTATTAAATGTTTATGAGTGATTTATGAAGAGAGTAAACATAAATTTAAAGAGTTTTTACTACTAAGTATTTAATAAAATAAACGATTTAATTAACTAATAAATTAAAAAAACATAATACATTTAAAATTTAATTGTCTTATTTTAAATTAAAATAAATTATATATAATAGAGGATTTTAGTTAAAATAATAATGACAAAAGTGGTAGGAAAAAAAAGAAAAATTATAAATTACAAATTAAAATATAATTTAAAATAGTGTCTAGAAAATAAACTATAAATTAATAAAATAAATTATAAACTCGTGATAAAAAAATTCTTACTAAATAGATTTTTTATTGACATATGAGTTTATAAATTATAATCTTAAAAAAATTGCTAGTCAACTACAGTCTAAGTTAAAATTGTTAGTATGATATTTTTTTAATGATTATGAAGTTTAATTTTTTTTCTTTTCTTCGTGATTTATAACAAGGCAACACCAATAAACATCCTATTTTTTTTATAAAAAAATTAGTCAGATATCTGTACAGTTGTATGGATATATTTATTTGATATAATATAAAATATATTTAGATACGTAATTAAATTTGAAATTACCTATTAATTTTAAATTGAATAATAATTGTATAAATTCAACTGTAGTTAAATACAAAGAGAAAAAATGGATCCATGAGATGAAGAAAAAAAATTAATATTTAAAAATAAGGATTCTATCTTTCAAATTAAAGTAATTATTGATTAAAATAAAATATGTATTGTGTTAATAGTGACCCGTAAAATAAAATTTTATTTGATACAATATAAAATATACTTATATATATATATATATATATATATATATATATATATATATATATATATATATATATATATATATATATATATATATATATATATATATATATATATATATATATATATATATATATATATATATATATATATATATATATATATATATATATATATATATATTTGAAATGAATAACTTAATTGAAAAATGAAAAATAATTGTATAAATTCAATTACACTAAATAATCTTGAAAAGGAAAAAAATGATTTGATGAAGAAAGTCAAATTGAAATACTATTTTGAAATAAGAATTTTATCTTTTAAATCAAAATAAATTGTTGACTAAAATAACATAGTGTTGATAATAATTTGTAAGATAAAAAATTATTTGAAGTGATATAAAATGTATTTAGTTACAAATATAAAATTTAAAATAATCATATAAATTTAGTTGTATTAATTAATTATAAAAAGAAAAAGAAAAAGAAATTAAAAAAGAAAAAAATGACAATAACAAATGAATTACTTGATTTAGTGCATATAATGTGTAAAAAAAGATAATTTAAAAATTTAATATAATTGATTTTTTATATACAAATATTAGAGTAGTTTAATAAAAGTGGGTTGTTATCATCGAAAATTTGGACCAGGTCCAGTTTCAAAGTTGGCATATAAAAAAGTGGACATGACTTTACGAGTTGAGAGGTGAGACAGTCTTTGTGGGAGACTGTAATTGTACTTGATGGAAGAAATTGAACACAAGTTGGTGAACGTGGGAGCTCTCAAACTCCACATAGCTGAAATTGGAACAGGTATGACAAAATCCAATCCAACTATTTGTCGTCTTAAATATTCAGTTTTTTTCCCTATCTTACAGGTCCAAACGTCGTCGTATTCCTCCACGGTTTCCCTGAGATATGGTACTCCTGGCGCCACCAGATGATTGCCCTCGCCTCTGCCGGATTCAGAGCTATCGCCCCCGATTTCAGAGGCTACGGGTTGTCCGATTCACCACCTCAACCCGAAAAGACTAACTTCTCTCATCTTCTCCACGATCTCCTAGCAATTCTCGATGCTCTTTCTCTTTCCAAGGTACACTCTTTTCTTTCTATCAATTATGAAATTATTCTCTTGCAATTATAATGCTTCCCAATTGATTAGTCCTCCTTGTCAATGTACAAATTATAATAGGTGTTCATTGTTGGAAAAGATTTTGGAAGTCGTCCTGCATATTTGTTTTCCATTCTGCACCCAGAAAGGGTCTTGGGAGTTATCACTTTGGGAGTTCCATATGTTCCACCACGCCCTGCACTGTATGATAAAGTCCTCCCTGAAGGTTTCTACATTTTTAGATGGGCGGTAATTCTAATTTCTTTTGACCTCTCAGCCTTCATGACCCGGTAATATTATCATTATAATAACTATCAAACAACTTTGTTTCTGTCTATATGTCTGTATATATCAGGTACCAGGAAGAGCAGAGGCTGATTTTGGACGCTTTGACGCAAAAACTGTTGTTCGAAATGTTTACATCCTTTTCTCAAAGAGCGAGATACCAATAGCTGATGAAAACCAGGAGATAATGGATTTGGTTGCACCTGATACCCCTCTTCCGTCTTGGTTCACTGAGGAGGATCTTGCAACATACGGAGCTTTGTATGAAAAATCAGGATTCCGAACTGCATTGCAGGTTCCTTACAGGTGCTGCAGTTTTCTTTTTGTCCCATTTTTGTCTCAGAAATGCGGCTAATATTGCTGTAAAGCGATCCGTTCTCCACCTTTTTATTTTTGTTCGTGTGTCATGATAGTTTTGGTTGCATTTGTAGATCATTTGGTGAAGACTTTAACTTGTCGGATCCTGTAGTCAAAGTTCCAGCACTCCTGATAATGGGCGGGAAGGATTATGTTTTCAAGTTCCCAGGGATTGAGGATTTAACAAAAGGTGAAAAGGCGAAAGAGTTTGTTCCTAATCTGGAGATAACATTTATTCCAGAGGGAACCCATTTTGTGCAAGAACAATTTCCCGAACAGGTGAATCAGCTCATCCTTGCCTTCCTTGCCAAGCACATTTGATTTGTGGTGGAAGTTTAGCAGTATTTTGTGATTTATGCTGAAATAAATGTGCAATAGCCATCTATAATGATGCGATTAACTTTATGGATCACCCTTGACATTTTGGACTTTTCTTGATAGAATGGAATAATATAATATTTGTGATTCACTTAAGTTATTAAGCTGTGATTTTTGCACTATGGAATTATTTAAATTCAAGATAGGCAGCAATGTCGTGTTTTTCGTTGTGCAAAACAATTATAGCTAATGCTACTTATTTAAGGCACTTCTCATCCCTTACCAGAATCATGAAACAAAGTATCAATTTTGGATTGGTATTTAGGATTATTAGGCTCATAACTAAAGCTCCTTTTTCAAATTATGAAAAGATATTCAATAAAAATAAAAGTATCAACCCTGTTAAAAATATCTTCTTAGCAAAATCAAAGATTAAAGAATAAAAAATATTCCGTATTTGAAGAAATGGGAAGGGGTTGAAAATCAAAGTTTAAAAGCCAATAATAATCCCCATTTTCTTAACTTTTTACTTCAATGAGTTTCTCTTCTCACTTTTATTTTTATTTTTCCATTCTGCACCATCTCCTACAATAATCTATAAGAACTAAATTAGCATAAACAAAAACATGTGATTTGTTTAAATATAAACAAAATTAATATATAGCTTTCATAGCTCAATTGGCAAAATCATCTCTCTACATATTTTGTGTTGTGGAAAAGTGGTGTATAAATTGTTCATTATTGGTTAGAGGAGAATATGAGGGAATAAAGGTTTTAGATGTGATAAAATAGAAGGTTTAAGCATCGTATTTTGAAGGTTTTGAGCATCGTAATGAAAACATAAAGGACTGCTGGAGGACTCTTATCTCTCATTGAAGATTGTGGAGATTGAGTCCCACGTCGTTTTTCTCTTAAACAATATTGTTCAAACATTGTTTTCTTCTTGATTGTAAAGTTAAGGCTCAATATATTTTTTTAAAGTTTAATTAATTTTCTAATAATTAACTAAAAAACCTTAATTATAATTATAAATGGTTAATTAATTTTTTAAAACGTAAATATCAATGTCACATCGTAATTTTTTTATCTCAATTATCACTCTCACTTTTTATTAAATCCTCCATTCCTGGAAACTCGAAAACATAATCCTTTCCACCAATTATCACCAGCGTTGGAACTTTGACTACAGGATCTGGAAAGCTCAAGTCATCACCAATTGTACCACAAAATGCAAACAAAACAATTTACAATATCATTAACAAGAATTCACCTTTTACAGCAGAATAATTGTCTGTCTGATAATAGCATTTCACTACTGAAAAAATGAACTAGAGAATGAGAGAAAACAAGTTAGCAGCACCTATATGGAACCTGCAGTGGGGTTCGGAATCCAGATTTCTCATACAAGGCTCCATAAGTTTATAGATCCTCCTCAGTTAACCAAGAGGGAAGAGGGGTATCAGGTTCCACTAAATCCATGATCTCCTGATTTTCATTAGCTATTGGCAATTCACTTCTTGAGAAAAGGATGTAAACTTTTCGCACAATAGTTTTTACATTAAACCGTCCAAGATCAGCCTATGCTCTTCCTGGTTCCTGATACATAATGTATATAAACAGATATACAAAACCATAAAAGGAAAAGAAAAAATGGATTCACCTTCCATCTTAAAATGTAGAAGCCTTCTGGGAGGTATTTATGAGGCAAAGGAGGACCTGGTGGAACATATGGAACTCCCAGTGTGATGACTCCTAACACTCTTTCTAGGAGTAGAATGGAAAACAGATATGTTGGAGGACCTCCAAAATATTTTCCAACAAGAAACACCTATACAGGTGCATCAAAGAATAAGCATATTGTAGCACCCATATCTCTGAAAACACGTGTGTCTTTGTCCGTCTCCGTGTCGATGTCCGAAACCGACACGCCAATTGTGACCATATTTAATTTATTCTTTTTTTAAAATTATTATTGGCGTAAATGTGTCTCATTTCTTGTGTTTGTGCTTCATATATTAGGAAATAATATTAAGCATATATAGTATAAAGTATAGTAACACGATGGAAAATAGCGAGAAAGTAAGAGGTTTGTACCTTGGAAAGAGAAAGAGCATCGAGAATTGCGAGATCGTTGACAAGATGAAAAAAGGTGGTTTTTTCAGGTGAGTAGTGGGTCAGAAAGGCTGTAACTTCTGAAATCGGGGGCGATAGCTCTGAATCCAACAGCAACAAGGGAAATCATCTGGTGGCGCCAAGAGTACCATATCTCATGGAAACTGTGGAGGAATACGATCATCTGGTAGCGCCAGGAGTACCATATCTCAGGGAAACTGTGGAGGAATACAACGACGTTTGGACCTGAAAGATAGAAAAAAATATGTTTGTTTGACTTTGGTTCAGAATGTTGAAACTAATTCCTTGTGTCAAAGCAATTTGTTCGACAGAGACAAGAAAATATCGAAAATATTTGATTTGATTTAGAAGTGTGAAACCAGTTTTTTACACACAAATTTATTTTATATTTAGATAAGTATTTTGGTATTTTATAGTTTTAGGCTTTGGCTTAGAGAGCAAGCTAACCTAAATCTATAAATAGGGAGTAACCCCTATTTTTGTAATCAAGTCAATCAAATTGTATTCGCAGAATTTTGCAGTTACAAAGTGAATAATAAAGACTTCCACAGTTTATGGGCAGAGAGAAACTCTGCAGAAAAATCATTATCTTCTTTCTTCCTTTCATCTTTTATTTTTCATTGTCATTATGTGGTGATATCAATCTTGTTCATCAAGATTGGTAGAAATTCATCATGAGTTTTGGTGGATTTCCAATATCTAGTATCAAGAGCCCCAGTTGAGTGATTCAAGGGAATAACGATCAAGAATGATCGAAGAAGAAGAAGAAGAAGAAATTTACGATAGTGATGAATTACGCTAATGAAAATTTTCCAGTAAGTCTCCCAATTTTTAAAGGTGATAACTATGAGAATTGGTACAAACAAATGAAATTTATATTTTATTTTTAAGGTCTTTGGGATCTTGTGAAACATGAATTAGAACCGCTTGATGAAAACGCTTCAGAAGAAGAAGAAGCAAAACATAAAGAATCAAAGAGAAGAATTATAAAGCTCTCTTTATAATTCCCCAATGTGTCAGCCTAGACAATTTCGAAAAGGTTAGTGATGTTGAATCTGCAAAAGAAGCTTGAGAAATTATGAAGAAATCGTTTAGAGGAGCTGAGAAGGTGAAAGAGGTGAGGTTACAAACTCACAAAAGAACGTATGAATTGCTTCAAATGGAAGATCATGAAAGTAAATCTGATTTCTTCAATAGGGTTACGAAACTAGTGAAACAAATCAAGACTTGTGGAGAGACGTTAACAACAAGAGCAATTGTTTTGAAAATCTTAAGATCTTTGGCACTGAAGTTCGACCATGTGGTAGTTTCCATAGAAGAGTCAAAGGGCACGTCATCTTTGTCAAAGGAGGAGCTCCAAGGGGCCTTTGAATCTCACGAATAAAGAATGGCTGAAAGAGCTGCAGGCAAGTCGAAGAGTGATGTGACTTTGCAGGCTCAATCAGTAAAAAGTAAGAAAGGCAAAAGAAAGTGGTTCAACAACAAAGGTAAAGGTGGCTACAATAATTCGACTGGTAGAGGAAATAAACACGAAGAAAACGTGTCGAATAAAAGAAGACCATACCAAGGCAACAAAAGAGGTAGTGTTGCGAATAGAGGAAGAGGTGGTGGTCGAAAGCCTGACAAGAGTCATATTTAATGTTACAATTGTCATAAGTATGGTCACTATTCTAGTGATTGTCCGGAAAAGCGAAAGAATAAAAAAAGTGATACAAAGTTTACAAAACATGAAGAAGAAGAGATGGTGTTGATGGTCACAACAACAGATGAAGATATATTCAAGGACCAATGGTACTTAGATTCAGGATGCTCATCACACATGTCTGGAAAGAAAAATTTGTTTGTCAACATAAAACCCTCGATGAAGAACACAATGAAATTTTCAAATGACAATACTCTAGCAGCTGAAGGTATTGGTGATGTTATGGTTATAAGGAAAAATGAAAAAAGGTCAGTAATTTCCAATGTGTTGTACATACCAGGCATGAAGAGCAATTTGCTCAATATAGGGTAGTTGGTCGAAAAGAACTACAAAGTATCGATCGAAGACAAGATGATGAGAGCCGTCGACGCGAATATGATGGAGCACAAGTGCCTTTCGACTGCTGCTAGCAGAGATGAATGGATATGGCACTATCGATTAGTCCATCTCAACTTTAGAGACATCAGAGATTTGAAGAGAAGAAATATGATTTTAGGATTGCCAGAAATCGACATTCCAAACGAGGTTTGTGAGGAATGTGTGCATGCGAAGCAACACAAGAATAGCTTCATCAAGGATGCAGGAAGTAGGTCGAAGGCTATTCTCGAAGTCATATAATCTGATGTATATGGACCAATCCAGGTGGATTTGATGGGAGGTAGCAAATACTTTGTTACATTCATAGATGATTTCAATCGAAAAATGTGGACTTACCTGATCAAGAAGAAAAGTGAAGTGATCAAGGTATTTCCCAAGTTTAAGTCTATGGTCGAAAGACAAAGTGGTCTAAAGCTCAAAGTTTTGAGAACTGATGGTGGTAGAGAGTATGTGTTGAAAGACTTTGACAATTTATGTGAAAAAGAAGGAATTATGGATGAGGTGGTGCCACCCTACACTCCACAACATAATGGAACTGAAGAAAGGAAGAATCAAACAATCATGAATATGGTGAGAAATATGTTAAAAGGCAAGTATTTACCTAAAGAGTTTTGGGGTGAAGCTGTGTCGACTGCAACATATATTTTGAACAGATGTCCTAGAAAGAATCCATAAGGAATTACTCTAGAAGAATGTTGGTCTGGTGTGAAGCCTAGCTTGAGTCATCTGAAGGTATTTGGATCTATTGCACATAGACATGTTCCAGATCAGTTGAGAAGAAAACTTGATG